AATTATTTGACTTGACAGTGTAGAAATGTGTTTACACGCTGACATGAAGGAGTCTTTTTTTTTGGTAAAGTCTTTTCAAGACGGCTAACTTAAACTGAGCGTGAGCTGGTGTTACACAACAATAAGAAGGGCTGAACACTTTATATGGGCTCTGTATGTTCAGCAGAGAAGCTGTCTTTCATCAGCTCCTGACTTTATAACCTCCGTGGTAGAAATTCAGCCGCCGAGGACAAATTCTTCACAGAAAATCATAACAGACGCTTCGACGACCACAACAACATCGTGCAGAGTCTGGGTTTGGAGTCCAGACGCACCGAGCTGAGCTGCACATAAACCTCCTCTCTGTTAATTCCCTGTTAAGGAACAAACCGGGGTGCATTAAAAAACAGAGTTCGGCCATAAAAATGTAGGCCATAAATAGTGGGAGGAATGCCAGAGACATGCGGGGACAGGGTGAGACCATGCTACGGACTATAAATAGTCAGCAGAAACTTACAGATTTCTCTTTCAACACAAACCATGTGTGCGGAGCTGCTCAGCAACAACTCACTGTGACGCCGAGCGCTGATGGAAATACAGGAGGAGGAGGAGGAGGTGGGATTTGTCGGATATGAATTACTAAATTGAATTATCCATCCATACGTTTTTCTCCGTCGCGCCGGCAGCAGACTAAACTGCTTTTTATATCAGGCTGAAGTCGATTAGTTCAATAATCAGCGACTGTTTTGACAGCTGGAACTGTTTCCAGCTTCCCAGTTAGAGGACTGCGATGTTTTTCTTCCTCAAACTGGAATCTCTTTGGGATTATCGATCGAGTCATTTGATTTCCTTCGATTTTCAACGACAATAGTAGCCGCAACTCCAAAACCTGCCAGTGGGCTCGAAAGGCATCCATCCATCCATTATCTATACACCGCTTAATCCTCACTAGGGTCATGGGGGGCTGGAGCCTATCCCAGCTGACTCAGGGTGAAGGCAGGTTCACCTGGACAGGTAACCAGTCTATCACAGGGCTACACTTAGAGACAGACAACCAAGCACACTCACATTCACACCTACGGACAATTTACAATCACCAATTAACCTCAGCATGTTTCTGGACTGTGGGAGGAAGCCGGAGAACCCGGAGAGAACCCACGCTGCACGGGGAGAACATGGAGACTCCATGCAGGAAGATCCCGGGTGTCCTCACCGGGACGCCAACCGGCGACCTTCTTGCTGCGAGGCAACAGTGCTACCAACTGCGCCACCTTGCAGGCTCGAAAGGCATGCTGTGTTTAAAACAACCACCCAAATGACACCATTTATGAGAGCAGGACACTGTAAGAATCTGTGGCTTTAGCTTCCACTGAGAAACAGAACCAAATATAAGTTTAAAATGGGGATATTTGATCAAAATCACTTTATTCTCCTCTATAAATTTGCCAACAAATTGCTGTTTGCAGTCACCAGATTCTGTAGAAAATGACTGCACACACCTCAGCGCAACCGTGAAGCCGTTATTGACTCAACTGATGAGAAATGTTTTGGGGTTTTTTGGCTGAACTGCAGGCTGAAGTGTTTCCACAGAACAGAGAGGAGACAACGAATAAAAAATGGAATAAATAGTAAGTTATTAGAGTCACCGTTTTCTTCCAAGAGAGACTGAGAGGAGAAAAAAAACAAAAAACATTTGACCGATAAAATAAATGCAAGCCGACACATTGAGCAGCTTTCTGGAGCTGGTGCGCAGAACAAAGCATCTGTAGGATGTGGGTGGGAACACGACTGTGGACACCTTGATTCCACTTTTTTGTGTTTTTGTAAACAGCAGCGAGTTAAAAGAACCAACATGAAGCATGAAGTGACCCAACCGTCTGAGCTGTAAAGTCCCAAAAGCTGCAGTTCCTCAAATGTCCACTAGAGGCTGGTTCAACCCCCACACACCTCCACGTTAAAATGTCCAACTTTGCAGCCTGGGACAAAACCCCCTTTTAGTTCCTACAGCTCATTTGCCCCAGTCATGACATCTGTGCAGGGGTGGATTTTTATTTAGCTCATCTGTTTAAATTCTATCAAAGGTTAAAGTGAAGCGTCGTTCATTTTTGAATTAGCCCAGAGTGACAAGGAGTCAAGTTTCCCTGTCAGACGGACCACCTCAACAATCTGTGGATGTTTTCTGAGCTTCGCCACCACATTCCAACCCAACCATGAGAGTATTTCTTTCCCCAGGAGCAGCTTTATGCTTTCAGATGTCTATTTTATCAACATCACGCTCTCAGAAACCTGACATGAATAAAAGATGCTCAGAAAGAACACAGACTGCAGGGTTTTTCCAACATGGAGGAGTTTTTGGAGGGGTTTTAACCAGCCTCAAAGGGAAATCACCAGATAAGAACTGAGAAGAAATTCAATTTTTGCACCAGTTTTTGTTCATTAGGCTTTCGTTTACTCAAACATAATGGATGTTTTAGCTCATCAGATGGTCAGAAATAAATCTAAAACTACATATAAGGTAACACAGACTGTTTGTGCTCAGTGTTGGGCGTAGTCGCCCCCCAAAGGCCCATTCTGAGCCTGGAAAAAGCCTGGACTTAACAGGGAATTTTACATTATAACTCTGTTTGATGCTGTAATATTGACATCCGGGCAGAGGGGGGGACAGCAGAGGGAATACTGCTGCTCTTTGATGTGTGTTTCCTCATAAAGAAAGAACCTTTTAGTTGTTTATCCTGCAGCACCATGAAACAGGAGGAGTATGGAGCACAGAAAGGTGTGATAAAACTTAGAATAAATGCACTTTTATCTTTAAATCAAGTTAAAATGCGAACAGGAGAGGTGAAGTCAGTTCACGTTTCTTGTCAGCTGCAACTTTATTTCCCAGCCAGAGTTCGATTTAGGCAATAAGTCAAATTTACCGGCGACGCGGGCGCGATGCTTTTCTCTGCAGGATCCTAAAATAATTTGTTTTTTTTGCTGGAGCTTCATGTTTTCAGCCAAGAGTTGATGCCTCAGAGATTAACGAGCGCCGACGAGAGATTCCCAAGAGTGTATTTTTATCTTTGTCCCACGACATCACTCCTACGCTGAGCGGACACGCAGCATAAACGCCGTTCAGTCCTGTCACACACTGACCGAACCAGGATGAAGTTCCCTTTAAGGCTGCTAATGATCATTTAAGCATTTCTAATTCTCTGATATTCAGCAGTTCTCAGGACGTCTCTACGTCAACTTTCCAACTGATTCATCACAAGCAGCCTGGTTTCACGAAGAACGTGCAACAGCATCGCAGAATGTTTTGTTTTCTGCTGTGGGAGGAATATGGGGCTATTCTTTGGGCCAAAACCAGTCCAAAACCAGTTTAAAACCATTATAAAACCAGTCCAAAACCAGTTTAAAACCATTATAAAACTAGCCCAAAAACCAGTCTAAAAGCATGTCTAAAACCAGTCAACAAGCAAGTCCAACACCAAGCCCAAAACCAGTCCAACACCAGTCTAAAATCAAGTCCAGATGATCAAGAAAGATGTTCCACCATCCTCAGTAGGAAGGCCCACTGCAGTGCTTCAGATCTGGATGATGATGTCATTTCGGTGACGTATCTCTGAAACCAGTCGGCAGCGTCGGGAGTTCATCGGTTTTATTTATTCCACGTGTTTCATTTCGTGTGAGCTTGCAGACTGAAACCCAACAAACCAACGGCAGCATTTGTCATCGCCTCGCTAAACGACTGATATCTGACTCTCCACATCCATAAATCAGCGGCTGACCTGCCGCCTTCACGGCTCTGCTGAGCAACAAACAGCCACCTGACGACAGCCGTGACTGACAAGAGGAACACGCAAACATACAATTTAAATCAGCTGATCCTCCCGCGACCACAGCGACACTGAGACGTGTCGAGACGGCGGAGAAAATACCGGATGAAGAGAGCACAGGGAGGAACGAAGGCAGTGGAAAACCTCCTGTTTACTGAAACCAGCCAATCACAGGAACTCTGAGTCTGTAAAGGCTTCATCGCTTGTTTCACATTCCTGCAAATGATCTTCCAGCTTCCCAGCCTCGGTTCACTTCCTGTCCGTCAGCACCAGACCTGCTGCCACAGCGATCCCAGTGAGACGTGTTGTTGTGATGCGTCCGAGCTCACGTCAGGCTGTGAGCAGCAGCCAACGTGCTGCTTTGATTGGATGAGCATTAACGTGACCAGAGAGCAGACGGAGGACCGACGCTGCTCTCGTGAGTCGGATCCACTCTGAAGCCGACTCACATGTTCAGCCTCTGAACCCCAACGCTGAGTTCAAAACCCGCCTTTAGCAAAGTTACACCGTTGACAGCGAGAAACTGTAAAAACGGAGATTTTCTGCTCGTCAGGAAATTCCTCCGGATTTCTTCCTCAGGTCAGAAGGTTTCTCCTGAATCGCTTTGTTCTCTGTGTCTCTTTAAATAACAAACGGTAATATTCGGCTGAACTGCAGGCAGTGTGCAAATCCTTAAACATCTACATTATGTGGAGATTCATTTTTCCAGTAACATCTGTGATCGGCTTGTTTTTTGTTTTTGTTTACTTTTTTCTTTCTTTGTTTCATTTTGTGTCATCTTCATGTAATTTTAACATATTTTTGCGTATTTTTTCTGACTTTTTGTCCGTTTTGTGTCTTTTGGCGTCATTTCGTGTCACTTTTCTGTCATTTTAGACTCTTTCTGTGTCATTTTTTAAACTTTTTGTGATATCCAAAGTGTGTTGTTCTGCACAGAGGACATGTCTGACTTCTCTCTCCTGCTTCATTCTGGTTCCTCAGAGCTGCAGGACTTTATGTTGCAGAGAAAACTGAACCACAGTGAGGAAAAGAAAGACAGGAGTGAAACCATTCAGGGACTCAGGGGGCTGACATCTCCATCACAGCGTCTTTTTTACTCGTCTATGTCGTTTCCAGTCAGAAGAAACGTAAAAATTCATTATAAATCAGATCATTTGGGCTGTAAAGGAAACTCAAAGGTGAAATGCGGTCCGTGTGACTCACCAGCCTCTGCAGGATCCTCTTGCTCTTGTCGTCGGTGCAGTAGTCGGACAGGATGCTCCGGTGGACCAGAACCAGGCCGTTCAGGAACAACCAGGACCCGAACCAGAGCAGAGCGAAGACCAGGGTCCCCCGGCGGGACCACAGCCTGAGGCCCAGCCACCGGAGCAGGCACAGGCCGCCGCCGCCTCGACCCCCTCCGCCCGCCGCCGGCCCTGCAGGGAGCATGGCGGCAAAAATGATCCTGAAGATTCAACCGAACACTGGCGAGTCGGGCCTCAGATCCTCAAACATCTGCAGAAGTTTTAGCTTCACTACAACAAATAATCCACCAGAAAGGAAAGGAAAGCGTCAGGAAGTCTCTCAATGAATGTCATCGGGAGTTTTCATTGGCTGCTGTCACGTCTCCCATGATGCCCTGCGGTCGGTAATCCAAGACCCAAGAATGTGCGCTCAGCGATGGAGACTGTCCTCATGACACAGGCCTTCTGATCAAACTCTGCCGGCAACCAGAACCAGGAGGAGACGGCCACGAGCGCGGTCTGTAATCATCCAATCAGAGCCGCGGATTCCAGCTTCCACCACAAACATCCCGAGCGTCGCCACGGTGACGTTCGCCGCCTTCACATCCCGCCGGTCCAGTGCAGCGCTGCAAAAGAGGAACACTTCTTATCTGGAATTTCTTCAGTTATTCTACAGATTTGTTCCTGTTTTGGTAAATGACTGAAAAGTCTAAGTTCACATGTTGACTGTAAAACAACAACAACAACAACAACAACAACAACAGCAACAACAACAACAACAACAACAGCAACAACAACAGCAACAACAACTGGCCAAAACTGTAAATAAAATCAACATGAAAAATCTGTTTGTACATCAGTAATTAGTTGCTTTTTATAAACGTGTAATTGGAAGATGACTTTGTAAGTTAGCAAAAAACATCATTATTTCCAATTATTTGCTGTTATTTGAAGGAACATGACGGACATGAAGGAGTGAAAACGACCGTTTGTTTTTTTAATAGTTTTTCTTTTACAGATTTTCCCTGTTTTCTACAAACAGTAACAGTTTCTTTGTTTGTTTTTTTTACTGTATTTAAATCATCTACAAACGTCAGTATTTCACAGATGTTTGTTTTTTTACAGATTTTTCCTGTTTTGTAAATTATAGAAAAAAATTACAGCAAAACTACAAAAATAAATATTAATTTACACGTTGATCGAAAAGAGAAAGAAAAACTTTTAATACATCAAAAATGTGTATTTTGCAAATAATATTGTCAGTTAACGACATTTGACTGTAAAATTACACAATTTTAACTGCATGTAAACAAGCTAAAACAAATTAAGCTAAAATATTTTTGTTTCAGATATTTGCTGTAATTTTTAGATTTTTTTAAAACACTTTTTGAACATTGGTGTTTTTTAGCAAATCATTCTGAGAGATATTTATTTTATTTTATTTTTGACGGTGTTTGTGTGTCTGCAGTGCACAGCCTTCAGGGAGGCTGGAAAACGTCGTCTTCACGAGCAAATAAAAAGAAAATGTGACGCAGGAACGTTTCCCTGATCCACAGAGTGATCAGCGGATTTCTACAGAGACGGAAACGCTGATCTGTGGAAGGAAGACGTCAGAGATGTGCAGCTGCTTTAGATCTTCAGCCTTCAGCTCTGACGAAACAAATAAAAACTCTCCGCTAATGTTTAACCTGAACTCCAGCTTTTTAAAAGTTCAAGATGAAGTTTCCGCAGCGCTGCGACTTCACAAAGGAAACTGATAAAAGCTTCTCTTCTCGCCCCGAAGTTCGCGGCGGGTTCAGGAGAGGAGAGAAGAATCTAATTATCTCTCCTTTTCACAGGGTCAGTGGAGGGTTTCTCAGAGCTTGTAGGCTTTGAAAGATCTAAATATCTGAAAGAGGAAGTGCTGCAGGAATCAGAGCAGCGTCTCGGCCTGGTTTCTGTCCTGCAGCACTCGTAACAGTTTCCTCATGTGGTTGTGGTTGTCCTCGCCGGAGCGTCCCAGACGTTAGCCGGGGGGAGAATTTAAAACAGAAAAACACACCGAACCCGGAGAGAAGTCGGACGGTTTGGCTGCTGCAGCTCTCTGGACGTCGTCTGCTGCCTCAAAGTATCAGCGTTGGGTTTGTGCTGGTGGGACTGGACGGGGCAGCTGTGTTCACACTGGGAGGCCGAAATCAGCTGATCTTCACCTGACCTCAGAGAAACTACGTTTATCCAGATGTTAACGTTTTGGTTGAATTCTTTCTCACATTTCAGCTCTGAAGTAAGACGGACCTTCAACCCCACAGATACACAGATACACAGATACACAGATACACAG